ATGCTATTTCATTAATGGAGGAGCAGAAGGTCATTAAAATAAGAGAGCTAGTTTAGTCTCTAAAACAAGACACGGCTACAGCTTGATGCTAACATATTTTTAGCTGTCAGAATTCTGAGATTAAATTCAGAATTCTGAGGGGGAAAAGTCAGAATTCTGCGTTTTTCTTATACTGAAATAAAATTTAAAAATCAGTTAACTTTTTTTTTTCAGTGGCCCTAATCGTCTTCCATATATTGTTAAAAGCCAAAGTGTATGTATTGAACTTATTGGTGGGGACATGTTCACACCAGTCCTTTAGACAGTTGCTGGGGGAAACACACACACATCTAAGGCCTTGGGTTAAAGTTTAGGAATCAAACGCAGCCAATCAGCCAACTGTTTGCGCATGCGCCGTCAGAGCAGAGCTCCTGCTAACGGCTCGCGGCTACCAGCTAGTGATATATCGGTGAGCGGTCCCTCTGCTTTGGACTGCCTCATTATTTTTTTTTTCTCTTCACTAACTAGAAGTTAAAATAATCTTTATTTGCTTTCTCTGCCATTACAGTGAGTTTTTTTAGGCTGTAAGGCTAATGCCACAGAGCTAGCAGCAGCGAGCGAGAGAGCGACTCTATCCAGCTTTCCTGGGAAGAGGGGGAGAAGTTTCCGGTGTTCAGACAATAATGCAGTGATTTTACATACGTGGCTCGTTGTCGACTCAATATTTAGCCCCTTTATCTTTTATGTTGGACTCCATAAAGTTGTACGACCAGCTGGAGATGAAGAGATAAATTGATGCTTGGATTTAAACATCTGCAAAGGAGGTAAGCTTAAAGCGGCAGGATGGAGACATTAACGTTTATCCTTTAGCTCTTTTAACGGCTGAATATCTGTCAGCATCTCCAGCGTCAGGTCACACATTATTACTGATCTTTGTCTTCTTTCATTTAGCATTTTGGTTATAGTTTCCTGTGTTATTAAATGGTTATATTCGGCCCTGACTGGCATGAGATCAGCTTGGTGCTTTAATGATGACATGTTACTGGTTCGATGGAGATCAGAGTAAAGTCCATGTTTTGAAACTTAAACTGGGATGATTGATGATCTGCTGCTGTCCTCTGGAACCAGTCAGCTGTTACTGGACAATATATCTGATCAAGTTGTTTATTTTCTGATTCTAAGTGTTTTTTCTGATGTGTTTAATGGCTGGAATATTGAATTATTCTTATTTGGAAAAATGCTCTGGTTTAATATATTAAATAGTAAAAAAAAATGTCATCCTTGATTTGGTTTACTTTTATACTAATGAACACAAGATTTAAAAAAGTATTTACATAGTTTAGGGGGAAATAAGATTATATTAAGGTTTATTGGTTCCTGGTTGCAAACTAGAACACTTGGAGAGGATTTTTCTCTCTTTCTTTTGAAAAAAGAAATTATTATGTTTATTTCATTAATATGTATTTATTTTGTGGCAGGGATTACTTTGTTGTTTGCTTCAAACCACCAAAGGTGGGGTTCCAGTTAAAAATAAGTAAGAAACCAGCCAAAAAAAACTTGAATCACAGCTTTAAAAACATAATATCAAAATGTTTTGTTTATTTTCAATCTATACATTACAATCTATCTATACAATCCCAGTGCAGTTGGGAAGCTTTTGAGCACTGCTTACAAGAGAGCTTTTCATGTATATAAAAAAAAAGAATCACATTTTTAAGATGAATATTTAAAAGTCAAATTTAAATCTAAGTTTAAATCTATTCTTCAGTCAGAGTTCGATCACTGATCTGACAAGCGGTTCATTTGTCAAATTCTGCAGCAAGCTGCAGTCCTGGTTTAAAGGAACCAGCAGTTTTTATGGAGTTTTTTTTATTTATGTTCAGATCATTGCTTCTCTTTTCACTAGTATGAATAAAGGAAATGGTTTTTCAAAAGATTAGTGATACAGTAGAGGGACTGAGTCCATCCTGATAAGGAATTTAATCTTTTGAAAATGACATTGGATTGTCGGAGCTGTTTGTTAGTTTCCTACATAATCTGGAAAAGACTGGGAATTTTAGGATCTCATAGGTTTAAATAGATATAACAGAAAAACAAAGGATGAGAAAAAAACTTTATTTTTTTTTTCACCGCTGAATTATCCACAGATTAAAATCAGTCAGTTTTCCCTTAATCGAGTGATCCGTAATCCTGGTTTTAAGTCATGTTTTAAAACATACCAAATTTATTTCCTGGCTATGGATGCATGAATCCTCATTATCTGCTTTGATGCAGATTTCTGATCTGATTTGATGACAGTTGGGCACATAGTATCTGATGCATAAACTGGGATCATCTTTTAATTCCTTTATTTCCTTTGAAATCCCAAAACATCTGAACACATCATGCGACACAGTGTTTTTGTTGTATCTGCTATAATCTGTAGAAAAAACATTTGGGAAAGATCAAAATTTAAACAAGCAGATCAAAGACAACTCTGACATCAGTTTAAGACAATTGCAGTCTTTCTCTCTCTCGTTCTTCCTTCCTTCCTTCCTTCCTTCCTTCCTTCCTTCCTTCCTTC